ATCTGAGAAATGGTGTCTTTCACACTCACAAGATGCTCCCACTGCTTTCTTGAATGTTCCCTGGATTAGGTCTAAGGGAGATCCTGGCCACTGATTTCATTTCCACTTTAGCTGATCATGTGACCCCATCTGGATCCACCCATTCCTTCTCTGAGTTTCATTCGTGGATCCTGTGCTCTACTAGGACTGCCAAACACCTTGGATCTGCATATATAACATTTGCCCTCAAAGAGATCATGAGGCATGTGGAGGCTATGAATAAGTAGAAGCTGCAGCCACTTCTTGGGGTTCTTAAAAGTCAATAACACAGCAAGGAGTAGCATAAAGCACAAGACAACCCTTCGAGAACCATCACAAGGACAACCCCTAAGTGTTGCACCTCCATCCCTGCGAATCTTTGTTCTTTCTCTCGTTTCTTTTGTATAATGTGGATAAAGCCAAGCCACTTCCTGTTGAGTCCAACGGGGTGTTGCAAAAAATGAAATTACACTTTAAAGAATTTGTTGCGCTTGAAAGAATTAAGTCAAATTAGATTGCATGGCACACAGAAAATCTTAAGTGGTCCAAATCCCTAAATCCTACCCTACAGCATGGTAGCCATTTTTGCATATTTTCTGTCTCTCTGCTCTTCTTCCCCTCTTTTCCCTTTCCTCTCCCAACTTTGCCTCCTCAGGATCTTCCCTCTTTCACAGCACTGCCCCAACTCCCTCCCACTCCCTTTCTGTATCCCTTCTTTTCTCCCTGGGATGGGGTTGCTCCTGGCTGTCATATAGATCATTCTATCTTCTCTGGGCTTCTTTCAGTTTACCTTTATACCCATTGCCCAGATCAGTACGAGCAAAGTCCAGGCCCTGTACTCTCCAAGCATGCTGCTGGTTTCCATGCAGAGGAGAGGAAGAGTGGACAGCTCCCTAGCTCTGGGTCAGCCTTGGCCATTTTGATCTGAAGCTTGGGTGTGGAGTCTCTCATGGAAATGGAAGGGCCTTAACCATGCAACTCAAACCCAAGCCTCGGGACCAGATGGAGGACATTCCTCCCATTCTCTTCCTCCCTTCTCCTGGCCCTCTTGTGCAATCACTGGCTCTTCTCTTCTCCCCCAGTTACTTAGCAGAAGTTCCCCCAGCAGATCAGTGGATACCAGCTGTGGTGGATTCTGAAGTGCTCTGTTAAGGACCCTTTCCAGGGACTGACACCCACCCAACTCCAGTTGCTGGGGACGATACCTTCCGAGGGCTCACAGCTGCTCCCCTTACTGGAATTGTCTTCAGCCCCATGGCACTGACTTTCTCAAGGTTACATTGCCTCTGAGAGGGTGATCCATAGCCATGGACTGGCCAATTTGGTGTTATAGAGGCCCTACCTTCTTGTGTCTGAAGGGCCACCCAAGTTCCAGAGCTCCTTGTCTGCTCAGCTGATGCCTCTGTTGCAACTGCATTGCAGGACTCCTCCCTGTGCCTGGTCCTTCCTTCCCCCCTCACTTCCTCATAGGTTTATCTCCCTAGAGGATTCTCTAATCAGCCTTCTGCATGCAACTCCCAGGCTCGGAGTGCTTTCCCAGAGAAACTAATCCTAGGACTACCACAAATGTTACTGTTTGGTGAGGATGGAGAACTTGGGGCAAGGCTCCAAATAAGCTAGCTTTGAACTCAGTTACACAATAAATAACAGCTGTATTTTGCATGGAATGTGTAGATTTCATGTGAACACTGGAAATTTCTAGATGTTTGTAGAACCCAGTTTCCTAACTCACACATGAAACCTCAGACTGCTTCGTGATTTCAGTGGCAGTTTCCCTTTGTTGGTGAACTCAATGAATAAGTCATTCATTTCTACCTTTTCCAAAAAACCCGTTCCTCATCAAAATGTGCTTTGAGTGCTGGCATGCTCTTTTTCTTTTGGGTCATAGCGATAGGCTCTCTGTACAGTGTGATAGCTTGTGTTCTCAATTCTTCATTATGCATGTAGTGTGTTCTTGCAGTGTCCTTGGGTGACTAGGGTATATTTTTCATACCTCTTTTTTTTTAAGATTTTATTTATTTATTTGACAGAGATCACAAGTAGTCAGAGAGGCAGGCAGAGAGGGTGAGGGAAGCAGGCTCCCCGCCGAGCAGAGAGCCTGTGGGACTCAATCCCAGGACCCTAAGATCATGACATGAGCTGAAGGCAGAGGCTTTAACCCACTGAGCCACCCAGGCACCCCCATGCCTCTTTGATAGTGGTCTTGGCCATATGACTTGCTGTAGCTGTTAGTAGGTTAGCAGATGTGAGGCCAGAGGAGCTCTTACATATGCTGGCATGGTTAGGCTTGGCCTTTGGCCTCCTAATGGTGCAGTGATTAGAGCATGCCCCACGTAGCTGTTACCCCTTCAACCTAGGCTTCAAGAAACAGATCTGGACCCAGCTTGAAGCTGGAGCCAAACCCAGTTGACTGCAGCCTGAAACAGAGCCATGTAAGATACATGAGCAAGGACATCATGGTTTTCTTGGTGAGCGGTTTTGTTACGTAATTTTATCACAGCTCTAGCTGACCACTGTAGATCATTCGTTTTTGACCCATGGTTTCACATTCTTCAGACTAATTTACCTTAATCAAGGTTACCATCTTTCCCTTGTTTTGTCCTTTCCCTCTTTTGAGCTTTATAGTCTCCCCTCCTCGGTACATCCTCTGAGTGCCTCTGGGCCCAGAAAGCCCTCCTTCTTCCTGTTGTGCTTTCAGGTACATTGGAAGTGGTGCAGGTGGCAGAAAAAAGGAATAAAAGAGAAAGTCATTTTGGTTGGGATGGTCTGAGAAAGCTTCATGCAGGAAATGACACCCAAGCAAATCAGGTTAGATAAGGAATATTTTAGGGCCTGTGATTCACTCAGTAAACACTGAAAAAGTCCCTACTGTGTGCTAGGCACTGAGGAATACAGTGGTAAGCAAAACAGTCTAGATTCTTGTTACAGAGTTTATAGTCTAGTCTTGGAGCCAACCATTCATCAGAGAATGACACAAAGAGATCCTGGCATTCAAGAAAGGTTAGGAAACTGGTGGTAAATGCCTAGGAACTCACAATCTGAATCCTAACCAGGATGGGTCACCAGGGACTGAGATTTTTTGGTGAGAAAGTAGCCTGGTTAAGCTATGTGCTTGGGCAGGGGTGGTAGGAAAGAGTCAAGCATTTGAAGGGCCAAGACGCTATCTTGGGCTTTGAAATGGAATGTTAGGGCTTGTCTCAAAGGGTGGATAGTGCAGAGGTTTCTGGAGCCTGAGGTTCATGTCCATGGTAGCTGCTGATGTGAGCCTGCTTCAGAGTTCCTGCTCATATCTATACGGGCCTGGCATTCCCACTGAGGGGCTAGACAGCTCCCTGGATTTACGGGTGCTTCCTTGATACCAGGCTTCTCCACTGTCTGTGTGGAGGGAGTGTGGGGGCATGTCAGGGTTCAAGAGTGGGAGCCCCAAACCCCTGGATTTCTCCTTCCTGCTGTCACCTTATGAAGTTTGGGAAACAATCACAGTAATCCCAATTGGTTAGAGTTCTTTCATGTTAAAAGAACTCTGGTTGACAGCTCGAGTGGCTGATGAGAGGTGAAAAGTTGGAAAAGCATTCTAGGAAAAAACATTTTTTTCTTGAATTTAATCTCAAATTGGGAAACGAGGTGATACTACAAAAAGGGAAAATGAACATTGTAATCTTAAGCAAGACTCCTTCACCTGTGGGTCTTGGTCAGAAGAGGACAGTCTTCACATCAAATGTTCATTGGTATAGATCCTCTTAATCTAAATTGAGTTTGCTATTTCCCAGGATAAAAAAAAGTTCCTTAACAGTGGAATAAATTGCTTGAGAACTAATTTAGGAATCTCACAACTTCTCAGAGTTTAAAGGCCACTTGAGAGCTATTACCAATGGGATGGGCTAGGGGACCTCAGTGCTACTTTCCAGGACAGGAGCCCATCTTATAAGATGGTTATGAGGATTGGCTGAAGCTGGCCACTGGTGGACACATAGCTGTAACTTGGCAATTTAGGTTAGCTATTTACATTAAAAATTGTGAATACTTTTCATTTCTGTTTTGATTTATTATACTCTTTTATCTTGTTAAATCAGAGGAATGTAATATAGGATATGCACAATGGATAAAATATTTATGTCCCCTCCAAATTCATAGGTCAAAATCCTGATCCTCAAAGTGGTCATATTAGGAGGTGGCCTTTGGGAGGTGATTAGGTCATGAGGGAAGATGAATGGGATTAGTGCCTTTATAAAGGAGACCCCAGAGCTCTCCCTGGTCACAGTGAAAAAAAAATGGCCATCTATGAACCAGGAGGTGGACCTTCAGCAGATCCTAAATCTGCTGGCACCTTGATCTTGGATTTCTCAGTCTCCAGAACTATGAGAAATACATGTTTTTGCTTATAAATCCTCAGTGTATGATATTTTTGTTATAGGAGCCTGAACCGACTAAGACAGTGTGTATACAGACTAGAAAAGTACACCTTTAAGAAGATTCTGTTCTTGGGGCTCCGGGGTAGCTCAGTTGGTTAAGCCTCTGCCTTCAGCTCAGGTCATGATCCCTGGGGTCCTGGGATCGAGCCCCACATCGGGCTCCCTGCTCAGCAGGAAACTCTGCTCAGCGGGCTCCTGCTCAGCTCCCTCTCCCTCTGCCTTCCCCCCAACTTGTGCTCTCTCTCTTGCCCACCCTTTCTCTCTCTCAAATAAATAAATACGATCTTTAAAAAAGAAGATTTTGTTCTGTATGCATAAACCTGAGTCCTGTATCCACAATTCTGTTTTCTTCTTTAAGTATAAATTACATTATTTTTCTTATAAACTATGTTCAGGTATGTAATCCCTCTTCCCCCACTATGTGAAGAAGACAAAAAAAAAAGTCCGTTAATAAATCAAACATCTAGTATTAGAGTCACAGAAACCACTGGCCCTTTGAAGTTTCAAGTCTGATGTATTTAAAACACCCCCCCACACACATGCATGCTCACAGACACCCACACACACAAGGTGTGTAAACAATGCACAAACACATGTATTTGTAAGCCAGAGCAGCAATTAGCTGAGGGAAAGACACATTCCAGAGCATTATTATTATTATTATTATTATTACCATTTTGCAGTTTTATACCTTTATTTGACAATCAGCACTTCGTCCTCAGCTCACATTAACTGTAGATTTTGGAAAGTGGTGACAGGTACAAAGGGAACCACTGTTTAGGACTTGTTTGCTGAATCTTCACCCTCGTTACGTTTTCTGGGCAACTGCACACAGGTATGGTAGAGAACATTCCTTACTCCTCTGACCCAGACAGCTTTGCTGAGCTCGGAGTCAGTGCGCACATCTGGAGTTCCCATCTTCTTTGTGGCAAATTTCCAGATCTTTTCTGAGGGCCTGAGAAACCCACTCTGTGATGCACTTGTGAATGTGGGTGGTGTATTTTCCGCTCACTCCCTCGATGGCAGCGGAATGGCCATCATCACCACCCTTCTTTTCAGGAGCCGTTCTGCCGGGCCCCAGTTCGAAAGGGAGTCAGTCCCTCATTTTGTGTGAGAAACAAAAAGACTTCCGTATCAAAGCCTGGCCAATTAAAAAATAGGACTGCGTTGTTCACATCTATAGCTCCTCTTCCTCCGAATAGCACTGGCTGTTTTCCAGTGTGAAAATTATTCTCTTGGTGGATTAAGTTACCTGAGAATTAATTAGAAATCTCAGAGTTTCTGCTCAAGGTCTAAATGCCGCTTGAGAGCTGCTACCAGTGGGATCGACTAGACAACATTGGTGTTGAATTCTGAGGCAGGAACTCCACTCTGCCGGTCAGATCTAAGATCATATTCTTGGTCATTTGCTCAGTACCGCGCCCTCGACCTCAACACATGTAACACTACTATAGCCTGTAAAGCCACATGGTTATCGTAAGTTCTTTTCAGTCTTTATCTTCTTCGTGTTTTTTCTACTCCACTGACCATTTGTGCTTGGTTTCTTTCAAATGCTTTCCTTCTGCTGACTGTCCTTCAGAAGCTGGAATTGCTCCACGTTCTTCCGTTCTCAGTGTTCACATTCTTCTTGGACGTCTTATTAGCCACCATGGTTTCTGCCAACATCAGGGTAGCAGAAACTGTACTTTACTGAAAGATCCAGTGGGGAAGAGACTTCTTCCTTCATATTCATCATGGCGTACCTCTAGGGAGTAACACAGTGCCTGGCACAGAGTAGATATATTTTTAAAAATCTTTGTGGAGTTAATTTTGCTCCCTATATTCTCGTGATAGGCACAGATTGCTTCTAAGTTGCTGACCAGTAATGTCCACAGCATCTCTCTACTTGGATTCCCCGTAGGTTTCAAACTCAACATGTTAAAAAAAAAAAATTTAAATCACGATGTTCACTCTAGGTTGTTCTGTTTTTCTGTGTTCCTGGCATAATGAACACTGTAGCCATTTGGTCTCTTGAGGCAGCCATCTACAAATCATCCTCTTCTCACATTCCTTACCATCACATTATTCGTGTCCCCTTGATTCCATCTCTCTCCAGCTCCACTTCCTTTCCCTGGCATCACGCCTGCACCAGTTCTCCTGGGGATGGGCCCAAGAGCTTCCCATCTAATGGCCTTCTTTAGACTGACTCTGCTCCTGCCTACTGTCCTGTCCCTCTCCCATAGCCCCTCACCCTGCCGCAAACCCTATTGGCTCCTACTTGCCCTCCATGGCTTAGCTCAGTCAGTCACTGAGAACTGCTTGCGGGCACCCTTCTGTGGAGTTTGTGCCTCCCTGTAGTAGATGTTGTCAGTGCCCCTTAGCATTCATCGTTCTTATGCACCCTGACCCATTGGCCTCTGGCTACCAGCACAGGCTCTCCACATCTGGGATCCACTTTGAGCCTGTGACCGATGGTCACTGGTACATAAATGTACCAGCTTTCTTAGCTTTGAGGCATGTTCTACAACCATCTCTCAGAGGCCCCAGTGGGATCAGTCCCCAGTTTCCCACAGTGGTAATCTGCGCTACTGGATATCTTCCTTTTCCTATCTCACTTCACACTCCTCTGCTAGTTTCCTGGGAACACCTCCAAAATAAACTACATGCACTCGAATGTTTGCCTACTACCTGTAACTGGGCTCAGTCCGGCCATAAGACTTTGGGAGACTGTGTAGAACACCCCTCAGAGTTATCCCAACTGGGGGCCTAGGAGATAGGTGTATTTGCCTACCAACACCTTATTTGTCTGAAGTAAGGGCTGCTTCCAGGGGCATTAACTTTCTGGTATTTCCAGTTTGCCCCATGTGAGGAAGACTTGCTTCTTCAGCCAGAAAAAAAAGCCCTCAGGCCTAGATTTACTGGCGTTCCTGGTAGGCAGCCTTCAACAGGCAAAGGTGAAGGTCAGGGGTGGGGCATCAGCCATATATACTCTACAGTTTAAATTTTGTACAAGATTTTGTTTTATTGCTACAACACTGAGGTTTTTCCCGTTTGTTTCTGGGCCAAGAGTCTTGAAATAGAATATAAGACTTGTTTGCATCCATGTTAAACATGGAGAGCATCTGGTTCTCTGACAATCTTCTTGAGCTGGTATGTTATCATCCAGATATGCTCTGGGATTCTTACGTAGTCGAAATTACAACTCTCCTTCTGGTTACCATTTTCCCTTGACTCCCTGTGGATTCCCAGGAATTCGTGCGCTGGCAACACAGTGGCCTGTGTTCTGGTTAAATTGCCTTTGAGAGTGGTGTGTGGTATCTTGGCAATCACCACAGAGCCATTTGCCTACAAGAAAATTTACAGAAAAAAAATGCCACAGGGCATTCTATCATTGAAAGTCCAGACCTATTACAAATTGGCACCTCTGTTCCATCTACTTTCTGCGTTCTTTATTTTGCACAAGTGTAAACATTTGTTTTGAGACTGTACTTGATTCTTGGGGTGTGTTTCTGAAGTGAAAATAGCTATTTGGATTATAAACATGGCACTATAAATTGGTGTTTTGTCAGCTTAGGACTCAATGTATAAAGCAGCTGAACTCCTTGTCTCCCCAACCCCACCCAGCCCCCTTGCCAGAGCTCCCAGGCCAGTGAAGGGCACAGGGTCCACTGATTGCTGAAGCCAAACTCTCGAACGTCAGTTTCAGCCGTTCCCTCTCGCATGACCCCATCCCACATCCAGTCACTTATCTCATGACATGTCTTCTACTGAAACATCTCTCTAGTCTCCCTGTCTCCTTCCCCACTGCCCTATATTCCATCACACCATGGCCAGTGACAGCCTCAGGAGTGGGCTTTTTGCCTCCAGCTTGACCCACCAACAGTTTTCTCTCTCCTTTTGCTATTTGAGTGGTGTGTCAGAAAATGAAAACCTGACATCCGCTTCCCTACTCAAATACTTTGATGTCTTTCCGTTGCTCTTTGAATCCAGTACAAACTCTGTGACCTTGTTGGTAAGACTCTCTGGGGTTTGAATCTACCTCTTCACTTCCTCATCACTGGTCTAGCACTACCTGTCCTCTTCTCAAATTCTATCTCAAACAAAAGAAACTCTTTCAGCTCCTTGAATACGCCTTGTGGTCTCTCACTTATAAGTCTTTATGCATGCTCTTCCCTCTGCCTGGAACATTATCGCTTCAGCTTGATTGCTTGCTTTTCTCAAGAGCCAAGTTCAAGGCTTGACCTGATGTCACTTTTTGATTAAAAATGTTGACTTTGGCTTTGCCTTTTATATTAATAGTGATAAACTCTGTAATTCCTTACAGCTCACAGAATGATACTTGCTTCCCTCATGGGGATTCAAAGTAATTTTTAATGTAACATATTTGACAGGGATAAAAGGGTAGATTCAATACCTTACTATTAGTATCAAGAATAAAGGTGGTAGAGGGGTGCCTGGCTGGCTCAGCTGGTGGAGGATGAGGCTCTTTATCCTGGGGCTATGAGTTTTGAGCCCCATGTTGCGCGTAGAGCTTACTTTAAAAAAAAAAAAGGTAATAGAACACATGTTAATCATCTATAGTAATTGGTCACAAACCTTAATCCTTCTCAAGTATTTCTTGGTGGTCATAGATAAGCTGTAAACTCTGTTAGCAAGGATTTTCCTAGCTCTGCCATATTTTTAAATGCTATTAACATTTTGGCTCTGTGCTTTTCTTTTTCTCTTCATGTTCAGGTTGCCAGGAACTGACCGTTTTGTCTAATTATAACAGTACTTGGACCTTATGATGAATTCATAGAAAAATCACTTATGAAAGTGTCTTCTTAAAAACACAGTGACACAAATGCATGTGGTTGAAATTAATCAGAAATTTTTAAAACAAAAATTATGCTTAAATCCCTGTGTTAAGCCTGTGGAAAACACAGATAAGCTCATAATTTATATCAAAGTTTACAGAATGACCAACCATCCCTGTTTGCCCAGGCCTTAGGGGATGGAGTGGGGTTTCTGAGATACCTACAGGACTTTCAGTGGTAAAGGTGGAAAGTCCCCAGCAAACTGGGATAGGTTGATCACCCTAGTTACTTATCAAAGTATAGGTTCATAGCATGGGTCATTTTATGGAAAGTACTATATAGTTAGTTTTAACAACAACAAAAAAGATTTATTAAATGCTTGAATCAGGTGGGCAGAAAAGAGACCTGAAGACACTCATGAGCCAGGAACATAGCATGATCAAAGATAACGTGCTGCAGAACCATAAAGTGGATCCACCTAGAGTGTCCGAGTTTGAAGAAAAGTGTAGATCAGGGGATCAGAAAATTAAGAGGCCAAATTCGAACATCTTCTAGGTTCCAAGCCTGGTGTGGGGACGGGGGGCAGACCTTATCTGCTAAGTCCTTGGGTGCTAATTTTGGATAACTTGGATCCTTTTGGACATCTGTGACTGACATTATGATATAATAGAAGTGATGTTTTGTAGGAGTAGTCTAAGCCTTCTTTTGATCCTTCGTTTTTAAGAGAATGGAGACATTGGTCGGAAATTGTGGTCATCCAGAAGACAACATCATTGTAGGCTTTGATGTTATCTTGTAAACAAAATCAAGTATTTGGAAACTTGTGCTTTTTCAACAATTGACAATATGACAAGCTATACTGAAAACTACCAGTCTGCCTAATTGAATGTGAAATCATTTTGTGAAAATACAGATTTACATATATAAAAAATGAGAGGGTTATTTCTTGTATAAAAATATTTTTTCTTTCTCTTTAATTTTTTTAAAAAGATTTTATTTATTTATTTGAAAGAGCATGAGCAAGAAAGAGAGCACAAGCAATGGGAGGGGCAGAGGGAGAGGGAGAAGCAGGCTCCCCGCTGAGCATGGAACTGGCCTTGGAACCGGCCATGGGGCTCAGTCCCACAGTGACCCATCTTGAGATGTGACCTGAGCCAAAATCAAGAGTCGGACGCTTAACCACTGAATGAGCCACCCAGGCGGCCCAGCTGTCACTTCTTTGCTTAACTGAGGCTTGCAAGATCAGTAGCAGTTACAGTGATGAAAAACAGGGGGAATTACAGTCCCAGTGAGGGAAACACATGCGAAGATGCTGTGGACAGGAGAGCATAGAAAGTTCAAGAAACTGAAGAAACTTTAGGTGACTGGAATACAGAGAGTAGGGTGGGGCTGAAGACAGATGGGTGGATCTGGAAGGGCAAGTGAAACCTGTTAAGGACTTGGGACTTCTCGCTCATTGTTTACAGGGGATCCTAAGTGCTTTAAGTGGGAGAGTGGCAAGCGCTTGCTAAGGCTGGGCTGCTTCACTGGCATGTGACCTGTGCAGTCACACGGGACCTGATGTTTAGAGGGACCCCCGCTGGGTTTAATGCTTTGTTGTCACCATCTTGGTATTCTTAATAATGTTTGGACAAGGAGCCCTGCATTCCCATTTCTGGGCTCTGCCAGTTAGCTACTGGCCTTGGCCAAGGCTCCACGGAGACGGGGCAGAGTGAATGAATAGCTACTGAGAGCTGAGAGGCCCATTTTTTCTGCTTCCTTCCTTTTTTCTTTAAAGAGACTCTACTTTTTAGAGCAGTTTTAGGTTTACAACACCACTGCGGGGAAGGTACAGAGACTTCGCCTATGCCCCCTGCCTTCACGCACAAGTGCACAGCCTCTGGCACTATGAACACCCCCACCAGAGTGGGACATTTGTTACCACTGTTGAGCCTACACTACCCGTCATCATCACCCAGAGTCCACATTCTACATTAGGCTTCACGCTTGGTGGCTTATGTTCTATGGCTTTGGACAAATGCGTAATGAAGCGTATCCACCCTCGTAGTGCCAGACAACGTAGTTTCCTTTATTCATCCCTGCCAGCCCCCGCCTCCCCTTAACCCTCACAACCATGGACCTTTCTACCATCTCCATAGTTTTGCCTTTTCCAGATTGTTGCGTAGTTCCAGATCGTTGCGTAAGAATCATATAGTAGGTAGCTTTTTCAGTTAGCTTCTTCTCACTGCTTTATTTTTTCCCTGTTCAGCTTTCGATAATTCTGCGGGCCACTCTATAAGCGCCAAAGGTCACATTTCTACTCCTGCTGTAATAATCATGGGCACAGGAGGTATTATTGCTGGAGCAATCAACTTTAGAGAGTTAGAGGACACAGAAACGCTCCAGTGGTCACAATGTTCCTGAGCAATAATGTGAAGAAAACATGGATGGACGTGGGAGTTTTTATTCTGATGTTCTCTAAAGACATTTTTTGTGTTTCCAGGTTAGTTCAAGGTGGTCTACAACATTGCCAGGTCTAATCAGCAAACTAGTCATTCATTGCAAATGCTAAGGAAACAAACTTTTAGAAAACAACTAGCCAATGAGATTTATTAAATATACTTCATTCGATCCCAGACAGTAACGTTATTTTGCATGCCAAACTTTTGTACTTAGAGACATCCCTTCCAGAGTCTGACAGGAATTCAAGGTGCAGGGCTGCCTGGGTGGCTCACTTGGTTAAGTGCCTGCCTTTGGCTCAGGTCATGATCTTGGGGGTCCTGGGATTGAAGACCATGTCAGGCACTCCTCTCAGCGGGGACCCTTCTTCTGCCCCTCCTTCCCTCTCATTCTCTCTCTCTCTCTCTCAAATAAATAGAATCTTCTTAAAAAAGAATTAAAGGTGCAAATATGTTCTGACAGAATGCTGGTTGTCAGTGAGGACCACCTTCTACCAAACCAGAAATTTGCCAGAGGCCCTTCAAGCCATGCTTCTCCTATAGGGAAGCCCCCTCCACTGACAGTTTCCCTTGTGCTAATGACTCCTTGCTTCCTGTGCCATTTTGGATCTTAATTCTCTCTACTTCAAAGAAGGCAGCAACCACATCTTTTTCAACTTTCCTCTACATTTTATAGAATGTCTCAGAAATGCCGTCAAACCGTTATTATGATGTACATGTGGTTACATCACTAATATACTATGTTTTGCAGGTATCATATACCATGAATAGTTTTTTTGTTTTGTCCTAAAATATTTTACTTTTTTGGCCTATGTAATCAAAACATGCTTGTTGCAGATCCTGCCAGGGCTTCATCCTTATTCTCTGGCAACCTTGTTTCCCGGGTGCTTTCACTCGCAACACCCAGTACCCTGTCTGCTGTTTTGGAGGACCAACCCTAGGCTATGGGTCCCACCGCTTAGCTGGCAGACAAAGAACCACACATACCTTGGAATTTACTCCTCCTGGTGAGTGGGTGGGGCATCGTGAGGACGGCCAATGACTGGTATTGTGACACGCATGTGCACGTGTGTGTGTGTGTGAGATAAATATTTCAGCTTCCTTATCAGATGACTGATGTGGATCCGACACTGTCTCCCCAGCTCCCTCCATCAGTATGGACTGAGCCATGGTTAACCTTCCTGAGATCTTTGCCTGATGCTACATCTTTCCTTGGCATCTTTACTTTCCTGGCCTACTGTCCCACTTTACTTCAGGTTTATCCTGGGAATTATTCTTATGAATCATTTTCTCTTCTTTTTTTTTAAGATTTTATTTATTTATTTATTTGACAGAGAAAGAATGAGAGTGATCAGAAACAGGACAGAGAGAAAGAAGCAAACTCCCCACCAGACAGGGGGCCTGAACCCAGGCTTGATCCCGGGACCCTGGGATCATGACCTGAGCTGCAGGCAGACGCCTAACCCACTGAGCCACGCAGGCGCCCCTGCATCACTTTCATACAGTTCTTCACCTGGGTCTAATTCTGGGGAACCTAGTATAAGAATTTGCTCACGTAGAAAATTTGCAAATCATTTGCAACAAAAAAAAAAAAGAAAAAAGAAATCACACACCATTCTCCACCCCCAAGGTACCCACCATCAGTCCTTTTCTATGAATTAAAAAATGGTTTATTGAGGCATATTTTGCTTATCATGTAGTTCACCCTTTCAAGTATATATTCCAATGAGTTCTTCATAAATTTGCTAAGCTGTCCATCCAGCACTACAAATTGGTCTTAGAACTATTTCGTTACCCCAAGCAGACCCATTTAAATGGCATTAATCTTCATTTTCCTTCAACCCAGCCCCTGGCAACCACTAATCTATTTTCCTTATCTATAGATTTACCCATTATGGGCATTTCATACAACTGGTATGGTAACATGTGGTCTCTTGCAGCTGCCTTAGTTTAGCCTGTTTCTGAGGTTCAGCTGTGTTGCATCATGTATCAGTTCCTTATGCCTTTTTATTGCTGAATAGTATTCTGCTGTATGGATACACCACCTTTTGTTGATTCGTCACTTGGGGGGCATTTGGGTTGTTTCCACCTCTTGGACTACTGTGAATAAGGGTGTTATGAACACTCACGTACGAGTCTTTGTTTGGCCAGTTCTCTTGGGTGGATACCTAAGAGCGGAATTGCTGGGTCATGTGCTAACTCTGGCTTAAGTTTTTGAGGAACTGCCTGAATGTTTTGCAGAGGTATTGGGCCATTTTACAGTCCATCAGTGTATGAGGGTTCCAGTTTCTCTACATCCTTGTGAAGTATTATAATACAGGAACGGATCTCTGGGAGACTCTGTGTTTGTAGAGCTGTGATCTAAATTTTTCTCAAATCTGAATGGATTTCTTAAACTTCTTGGTTATCATTGTAGTACATTTTAAAAATATCTGATCCCTGTTCAGGTCCATAGAAAACTCAGGACACAGAAAGCCTATACAATTTGTGTCTTCACTTACTCTGTCTTCACCATGCCCTCTCATTCTTTCTTCTCTCATCCCTCTGTTTCTTCAAAAATAAAGCTGGTTCTTGAAACCATGCCTAATGAGTCTTGTCTTTCTTTTACCTTCCAACAGCAACTAATTACTTCTTTAGATCTTGATGGGGGCATTTTGAATGTGTCTCACCACTGAGCTTTGTGCTGAGGTACTGGATTCTCATAAGCTAACGGTAAATGAACAGGTCACACAGATCAACAGGGACCGGGGACGTGAGGGCAAAAGTGTTTGCAGTGAGGTAAATTTTCTCCTGCAAGTCTTTTAATGAGACATCACCACATGAGTGGGTTGGTCTGGATTTTGTCACTCTCATGTATCAACCTTCCCCCTTCAAGCCAGCCTATTGGGTTCTTCATTAGATAATTTTCTTCGGGCTCAGCATTTCTGCAGATAGTAACTAAACACCTTCTTTCTTTCACTCAGAAAAGAGTTTTTATAGAAAACAAGAAGAGCTTGCTGAAATATTCTCAAAGGCAGGCTGTCCAAATGAGTTTATTTTCCCAGGATTTTATAGTTTAATCTACTCACAAACTCCTAGAAACATGGCGTGTCTCTTTCTATGCAATCTTCTGCCTGATATCCGTGCATAAGAAGCTGTACAAGTGGTCATAGAATTCTTCATTCTTTAAAAGCTCAGAAGAGCAAACCAGATGACTGTGTCTGATTTTCCTACATGCAGGTATTGACAACAGGATCACAGACAAGCGACAGAATATAAGATTATTTTTTAATAACAGCTTCATTGAGATACAATTGATAGACCAAAAAATTCACCCTTTTAAGGTGTCCAAATAAGGGGTAAGGGTCTTTTAGATTTTTTTTTTTTTAGTTTACTTGTTGAATTTATTTACAGTTGTGCAACTATCATCACTATCTAATTTTGGAACATTTTCGTCACCCCCACAAGAAACCCTGTGTCATTCAGCAGCCATTCCTTCTTCCCAGCCTCCCCAGCCCAAAGAAACCACGAATCTACTTTCCATCTCTCTGGATTTGCTTATTCTGGACATTTCACACCAATGGGATCATACAGTATGTCATCTTTTCTTGACTGACTTGCACTTCACATGTTTCCAGGATTCATCCCTGTCGGAGCATGTGTCGGGACTTTTCCTTTTGTTGCTGAATAACTTCCATTGCCTGCATCGAATGCATTCTGTGTATCCAGTCATCATTTGGCAGACAGTTGGGTTGTTGCACCTTTTTGGCCCATGCCAAATGCAGCATTTCTCTCTTTAGACCAGCGCTGCTACGAACGTTCACGTACAAGTGTTTGTACGGATGTAAGTTTTTCACTTCTCTTGGGTTTATACCTAGGAGTATTAATTGCTGGGTCATATGGTAACTCTACGTTTACGTTTTTGAGGAATTGGAAAACCATTTTACCAAGTGGCGACACTCTCTTAAACTCACAATAATCACGGGAAGGGAGGATTATATTTGTAGATCGGGAAATGGTGGCCCAGAGAACTTTAAAAATCTCCCTAGTAAACCAAGCCTGCTATTATCAAAATGTTGGCTCATCTCAGAAGTGGGGCCTTTTCAGATTCCTTTAAGAAGGGCCAGTAACTGAGATGGAAGGCGGGAGCTTGGGACCTGGGTAATAGGTGTGTCTGCCTCACACTCAGAACATCTCAAGGGTAATTCTGTAAATGGCAGAATGCATCTGTAAAAATCACACTTCTGTTTTTAACAATGAAAAATGGCAGTTATTTCTATAATGAATACATATCATTTCAGAAATCAGGGAGAGAGCTTAAATAAATAGAAAACATTATGCTACTGAAAATCATGGTACTATAAGGATTTATTCTGTTAAAATCACCTCTTTTCCGTGGTCTCTTTTGGTGGGGATGAAAGACTCCTGTGGCGCATAGATTTTTACACTGTTCTCTATCTTGCAGCATATAAGGAGTTAATATTTTCAGCAACTCTGTCTCTGCTGAAAGACTCCCTCCTCTAGCCCCTCAACAACACGCGTGCCCTGCCTTAGTTACACTTCGTCTCTTCCCAGGACTGACCCCATGGGATAGTTACAGCACAGTCTTTCCTTGAAGAGAGCAAACACCCCAGATTTGTTTCCTGTTTTAAATTACTAGGAACCGATGTGTCAGAACCATGCAACTGCTTTTGCTTGTAACTGCATTAACACGGCCCATCCTTCTACACCAGTCTCAGTACTCTTGCTGGCTGTGGCTTTTGGAACTTTTTAATCAGTCTTGACCTAGGGTCTTCGTTCAGGTTGCCCTCTGTGCCTGTAGTTATGTCACAGACTCTTATCTACAGTTTTCATCTCCTTGACATGCATGTATTCTTCCCGTGGATTACTTAGAATATTGCTTTAAAATGTATGCAGTTTCATACTTTTCCATTACATCTACAATTATTACAATCCTAGTGTTTCGGAGCTATGCATACAAAGGATCAGCACCAGGATCTGCAGTTTTGACAGCGGAACAGCCTGAGTATATGAGACCTGGGTGGGTTCTTATTCAGAAGTGAAGTTATTCATATTCCTTGAAATAGGAAGGTAATTCACAATACTCCAACACCCAACAGCCTGTGTGCAGACCTTCCTCCTCAGGCCACCGTGCAGGATATAGAATCCTGGCCAGGAAGGGATCAGTGGGGACTTCTACTTCCTAAGGGGCTGATAAACTCTCAAGAGGGGGAGGATAAATGCCCAGCGGATGGGGTCTGCTTTTGGCTGGCCACACTAGCCACGCTGGCAAAATATCAGTTACTTGGCAAATTAGATCTGGGCAGCCAAAGTGAATAGTTGAGCATCTCCCCCTTGTGAGGTTTTAATAGCTTATGTGCTCCTATTTGATGATAATTATTCATCAGAGTAATACTTGTAATTAGCAGATTTTCGTTTTTGTAAAATCCTCATACAGATCTGGCACATTTCTTGTTAATTTCATTCCTTACCACTTAACAGACTTATTTTTGTTTCTTCTGTGATTGCTTTGCTTTTCTGGATGAAATCTATTTTTCCATTATGTTTTCAATTTGGTTCTTGCTGGCGTATAGGAACTCTATTAACTTTTATGTTGGTCTTCTATCTGGTGACCTTATTGCTTTTATATTAGTTCCAATAAATTTTAAATTAACAGGGTTGGATTTGTAGATAGGAAATCATTTATCTCCCAATAACAATAATTTGAGATTGTATTTTTTATCTAAGGTTTCTTTGTGTCTTCTTGTCATGTGTATTGATGGAATCTTCTGGTACAATGTTGAATGTGGGCATGTTTGCCTTGCTCCTGAGTATAATGGGGCCACTTCTCAGTTTCTACTGTTAAACAAGGATGATTTCTATCACTTTCTAGTGGATACCCTTGACCAAGATGAAGCAATTCTTTCTATCTTGATTTATTAATAGTTGTATTTTTCTTTAATATGTAAGCCCTTGAAATTTTGTAAAATATATTTTAGCATCTGTTGACATGACAATGTTATTTTCCTCCTCCTTTAATGTAAACACATAGAGAATTCCATCAATAGTTGTCCTAATGTTGAACCTTGTTGAATCCCAGGAATAAAGCTTACTTGATCGTGATTGATTATTATGGAGTTTTTAATTTACTTTAAAGCTTTGTGATCATCCTCCATTAAAAAATACTTACTGAGTATGCCAAAATACCCAATGAACCATGAAGTTGTTTGAAATTATAGTAGGGAAAACAAATAGACTAGCTGGCAATACTGTTTGCTTTTTTCCTGAGTAATTCCATTCCGTGCAGACATGAGCAATAGGATTTGATCTTAAAGAGAAATGACTCCTTGGCTGGGGAGACTGTATTTTTCCTGGTAATTCATTTGGTATCTAACACGGAGTAGCCTTCTGGCTTATTTTGTATGTTTAAACAACCTGTTCAAATTCACCTCAGTTGCCATAACCGTCACTTGCTGACAGAACACTTTTCTGAGCTTGTAGAAGTTATTACAACCAGGAAATTTAGTTGATTTCAGTGTGTTGCATTTGTCTTTGCCCAGTGATCTCCAGTTACAGAGGCTCTCGCTTTTTCTTCCATCAGTTGTCGAGAGCAGTTAGTAGGCTGCAATAGTTCAGAGTAGGAATCGTCTGGTTTCACACCCCAGCTCTGCTGTTAACTGGCTGCCAAAACCGTAATTAGTTTCATCATTTTTAGAATGGGACTATTGGATGCCTTATGGGTTTTTGTGTATATTAACTGAGTAAATAGAAAGCACTTGAAATAGTACGTGGGGCACAGTGAGTATTATGTATGTGTTAGCTGTGATTTTTAGATAATCAGATTGGAGTCATTGATTTGTCAGGAGTTTTGTTACAGATACCATTGTCTTATGATTGCACATGAAATATATTTTCTTATATATGACTTACGGAATTACATCCCATGTAGAATTTCACTGGGCCTTTACTCATTCAGAGCATTTCTGAAAATAGGCAGTTTTGTTTGAGTGTTTTTCTGGTAAAAAAAGGCTGGCTGATTTTTCCAAAATATTTTACGTTTTGGAAAACTCAGAAGGATGAGGTTGAAGCTGATTATCACGATAAGCCAATGGGTCTACGGATACAAGGAGAAAAGCCATTCAGCATTGGTCACTTATAGTCAATAAACCGTGGGGCTTGCAGAATATGGGTTGAGAGGCACGGGGTAACTCCCACCTCTCCCTGCTCCCCACGGGGCTCTTCTGCCACCTGTGTGTTGGCTCAGAGAGCTAGCGATGAGCTGAAGCAGCTTATGGGGAGACTCAAGATGGAGACAGAGATGGTGGGTGGGCTCTGCTCCCAGACTCCCTGGCTTCAAAACTGGGTGTCACCACTGCTCACCTGCTAGTTGATCTTGGATATGTTTCCAGTGCCTCCGTTTTCTCATCTGTTAAATGGTGACGGTAATAATAATTAAATTCTAGAGCTGTGGGGAGAATTTTTAAGGGAAAATCCCTGTTCTGGACCAGCATAGGACCTGGCACACAGGACGTGCTCCGTCCATGATGTGTTCTTTGGCACAAGGCGTTCTTTGTTCTAGTTTTTGTGGTCTTTGTTCTAGTCTGCAGGTCATCAGATTTCCAGCTGGGCATCATATCATATGTGAAAGTCTGATGACAGAAGAGTTCACTGCCTTTTATTTAAAAAAAAATAGCAGTTTTTAGTATATTCACAGTGTTCACAGATGTGTGCAACCATTACCCCTGTCTGTCTGAGCACATTTTGGTAACTTCAAAAAGAAACCTCACACTGTTTAGCTCTTACCTCCCTCCACACATACCCCATCCTCCTTGTTAGCCCTAAGCAAATGTTAATTTACTTCCTGTCTCTATGCTTTGGCCTATTCTGGACCTTTCATATCAATGGAATTATACAATATTTAGTCTTTTGTGACTGGCTTCGTTCATGTAGTTTAATGTTTTTAAGCTTCATTGGTGCTGTAGCATGCATCAGGATATCATTCCTTTTTAAAAAAAAAAAGATTTTATTTATTTATTTGTCAGAGTGAGCACAGGCAGACAGAGTGGCAGGCAGAGGCAGACGGAGAAGCAGGCTCCTGCTGAGCAAGGAGCCCGATGTGGGACTCGATCCCAGGACACTGGGATCATGACCTGAGCCGAAGGCAGCGGCTTAACCAACTGAGCCACCCAGGCGTCCCGATATCATTCCTTTTTATGGCTGGCTAATGTTCTACTGTATGGATAGAACACATTTTTTTTTGAAAGACCCACAGCAAATATCATCCTCAATGGGAAAAAGCTTGCAGCCTTCCCGTTGAGATCAGGAACACGACAAGGATGCCCACTCTCACCACTCTTGTTCAACATAGTATTAGAAGTCCTAGCAACAGCAATCAGACAACGAAGGGAAATAAAAGGTATCCAAATTGGTCATGAAGAAGCCAAACTCTCTCTCTTCGCAGATGACATGATTCTTTATATGGAAAACCCAAAAGACTCCACCCCCAAACTACTGGAACTCATACAGCAATTCAGTAACGTGGCAGGATACAAAGTCAATGTACAGAAATCAGTGGCTTTCTTACACACTAACAATGAAAATACAGAAAGGGAAATTAGAGAATCGATTCCATTTACTATAGCACCAAGAACCATAAGATACCTGGGAATAAACCTAACCAAAGAGGTAAAGGATCTGTACTCGAGGAACTACAGAACACTCATGAAAGAAATTGAAGAAGACACAAAAAGATGGAAGACCATTCCATGCTCTTGGATCGGAAGAATACACATTGTTAAAATGTCTATATTGCCTAGAGCAATCTATACTTTTAATGCCATTGCAATCAAAATTCCACCATTATTTTTCAAAGAGCTGGAGCAAATAATCCAGAAATTTGTATGGAACCAGAAGAGACCCCGAATCGCTAATGAAATGTTGAAAAACATTTTTTTTAAACATGAAATACTTTTAAGAGGTTTCAAATTTTATTTTATTTTTTAAAGATTTTATTGATTTATTTGTAAGAGAGAGAGAGGGAGTGAGAGAGAGCACAAGCAGGGAGAGCAGCAGGCAGAGGGAGAAGCAGGCTCCCTGCTGAGTAAGGAGCCAGATGTGGGACTCGAGCCCAGGATCCTGGGATCATGACCTGAGCCAAAGGCAGACACTTAGCAGACTAAGCCACCCAGACATCCCTAAAACACATTTTGTCTGTCCATTCATCCACTGATGGACATATGGAACACCTTTTTGCTTAACAAATATTTATTTATTTAGTATTTGAGGGAGTGCAGAGGGAGAGGAAGGGAGAGAGAGAGAATTCCAAGCAAACCCCCTGCTGAGCGTGGAGCCTGACACAGGGCTATATCCCACAACCCTGAGATCATGATCTGAGCCAAAACCAGGAGTCGCACATTTAGCCGAACAAACCACCCAGGTGCTCCAGGCTGTTTTTACCTTTTGACCAATAGGAGTAATGCAGCAGTGAGCATTCATGTACAAGTTTTTGCATGGGCGTCTGTGTTCAGTTCTGTGCGGGATATACCTAGCCGCAGAATTATTGGTTCATATGCCATACAAGGAGCTGTCAGACCCTTTTCCAAAGCGGCTGCACCATTTTCCACTCCCACCAGCAGCATGTGAGGCCTCCAGTTTCTCCACCTCCTTGCCAACACTTATCATTGTTTGGCTTTTTTATTATAGCCATCCTAAGTGGGTATGAAGCAGTGTCTCATTGTGGTTTTGATTTTAATTTCCTTAATGGGTAAACAACCCCAAGCATCTTTACATGTGCGTATAGGCCATTTGTATATCTTCTTTGGGAAAATCTCTCTTCGGATCCCATGTGTAAATTGG